AAAATTTTGAAAATTTCATAATAAAATATTTAAAATTTCCAGCTTCAGCCGTTTCCAGCTTCAGCCGCAACAATAAATATAAAGGTAATTCTCATTGTTTATTCATGCTTAAAACTTTAAACGCATTTTCATATTTAAAATAAACTCTTAAGTTTATAATTGTGTACTTTGCTTTAGATATAGCGTTGACATGTTTTTTGGGTGAGCCCGTATGAATGTAGTTAATAGATTGGAGTCGAACATCGGTTGATTAAAATTTTCGATTTTCGAAAATCGGTGAAAAATTTTGGCCGAATATTCGAATATCCATGTCGTTGCATAAAAAAAAAAGATCATACAATTACATTAAATTACTTAATATGCAATTTACATGAATTGCCATTTATACATTTATCGTTATAAAAACTACAGTCTACCCTCGTTATAACGTAGTGATCGGGCTGAGAACTTCTGTCCATATCTGCTATAGTGTTATATAGTACTGTATAATAATAAAAATTTTAAATTGATCTAGAGAGTTACTCCGTTATAACGAGGTATCCTCTACTACGGAGTCCGTTATAATGAAGGTAGACTGTTATATTAACTTAAACATCAGAAAGAATAAAATCAATTGCTTTCATATTATGTTTTAAAAATATTGTTTTGCAAAATAACATTGGATATAATAATGTTCTCTTCGAACTCATTATATTTCCCGTATCCGAAAATAAAGTTGTTCATTTGATTACTGTTGCAGGAAGTACATGTAATTTTTGTCCCATTTCTCTTAAAATTTGTTGTGTAATGACCCATATTGGGGTTTTTTTTCAATCCTTATTGATTACTATGATCAAATTAAAATGCTGCCAAACCTAGTATAGTTTTTTTTAGACCAATATATTTCTAATTTTGTTTTTTAGAGCTGTTGGTAAGCCCCTTTTATATTAGATTTGGGTTCACAAGCAGAGATATTATAAAGTTGTATTTCGTTCTCTTCATTATTAACGGAAGATACAATATTCTTATGCAATATTAAAGTAAATTCTGTCTTTAATTAATGTCATTTGAAAGATTTAATTAATAACTAGAAAAACAGCGACGTTTTTATTGGCTGGAGCTCTAATTATTAGGTATTACACTTTATAATTAAAGGTAGTATTTAAATTTTACAAATTGCTACATAAGATTTCATTTTATAAAGAAAACAATTTTACTTTTCCATTGTTCTTTGTTGTAAACGTACAATTAACCAAATTGAAAAGTAGGTTAGCAAATGTATGAACCCTTGATTCATCTACCAATATTTTAAAATTCATTATTTCGGTTAATCGCAGTATTATAACCTTAAGACTTATGAATATTAGTTGCCCAAGCAAAATATAAAAGAAACATATATGAGAGCAAGTTTTTCACTTTATTTTGAATTGGTACTTGGTTATGGTTCGATACAGATAGTACTAACCCCGTATAATTATCCATTTTAATTAATTATTCCTATAGATGTAGGCATTTAAAATCTTTGTCTTTCTCAACGCGACCAATAAAAAACTCGATCATATAAGTGTCTGTATTGTGAAAAAAACTTGGCACTAATATCGATATTAATATTATGTCACTAGTATGATACCGATAAAATGTCTATTCATTCGCTTTTGCTTTTACATTTACTTCTTTGTTTTTTTTTTTTAATATACATTACATTTTACAAAGCAAACCTTTTTTATTCGTTTTTGTGAAAGACAAAATTTTTAATAAAAACTCTTAGAAATAGATGAATTACTGATGTTAAGTGAAGTCATAACTACTATAACTTTTTTTGAAAAATGAAAGCTAATGTCCATATGGGTAATAAATGGATTGGATCAAGGACTTACTCGAATAACTAAGCAATAATGAAATAGAAGCAATTATAAAATTCTTCATTAGGTTATCAACTTCTTTACCAACTTTTTTAATTGGAGAGTCTAAAAGAAGGTGGATCTGAAATAATCAAAAAATCAATTAACTGAATGATCAAGACAATGAAAGTTAATAAAGAAATTACTAACACGATGGTTAAATTTGATGACAAAGAGTTAATCATACATACATATTGAATCCATTATTTGTAATTAAATAAGGTGTTATTTATATTCAATTTATATGATGATATATAATATCTTTTTTCCCGTATTTATTTTTTTAATTTTATCGTTGTTGTATTCGTTTGATGCAGTGTAATTCTTATATTCTAATAAATAAACTACTCATTTATTAAAAGTCAGTTAAATATACAGTTAAGAGTCAGCTATTATATTTTAAACTAAGATTTCGGTATCCAACCGTTGAGCCTAATTTAGATTCAATTTTTAGATACACAACCAGTTGAACCGGGAACCGGACATTTCTAACAATTCATAGAGTATAGCTTTAAGGTTTTCACTTCGCTCCCCTCACCTCCAGCCAAAAACTTATTAAATCAATAAATTTATCACTATCACAAAAGCACGTCAAAATTTAATTGACTGATGCTCGATGATTGAATAAAAAGCTCATTTCGATGCTCGAAATTTTTGATCAATGATTGGATAATTATTCAATGATTCCACTCTCTAGTAGTTAATCTTAAATATTTAACTCTGTTCTTACTCGTAGTAGTCATCACCCTTTTTTAGCGACCGAAACCAAGGTGAATTGTTATTTCTGGATATGGCTTCTTGATAACAAGGCTTCCAAGGCTTCCAAGGTTTCCGAGGACCTGGTACGATTGTTTCTTTTTGAAGTTGTAATAAGGGTATTTCTTGAAGAAGTATTTTGCTGTGAGTAATTTGGTTCTTTATTCATATTTCCACTTGAAATTGTAGCTGAAATGTTTTGCTGTGAGTAATTTGGTTCTTTATTCATATTTCCACTTGAAATTGTAGCTGAAATGTTTTGCTGTGAGTAATTTGGTTCTTTATTCATATTTCCACTTGAAGTTATGTATTGCTGTGAGTACTTTGGTTCTTTATTCATATTTCCACTTGAAGTTTGCTGTGAGTAATTTGGTTCTTTATTCATATTTCCACTTGAAGTTGTAGAAGTATTTCTTGGTGGTAATACAGTAGATGAGATTGCTCGAGGAGGTAAAATAGTTGAAGCGATCGCCTTATTTGGTGCCATAAATTTTGCCATAATATCTTTCCACAAATTAGATTGAAGGATTCGATGATAAGGTTGTATTTTTTCCAGAACATCTTCACCAGCAATTTGAAAGTACCGAATATAGGGTAAGCAATTTCGGAGAGTGGCTTTTAAAGTTAAAAAATTTGCATCAGACCATCCTTCAGGATCAGTATTTAGATCAGGATTTTGAGCAATTCCCCATCTAATAACTTGATCCCAAATTTTGCCTTCATCCATTTGTAAATTGTCAAGTTTCAAGAGGGAAACCAAGGCGTTTTCTGGAATACTCGTAAAATATTCAGAATCAAAAAGAGTACCTGGGTGCTTAGCAATAATATCATTACAAAACTTTGTAAAACTTTAAATCTATAGTGTTCAAAACTTATTTTATAAACTTTAGTAAAATTCCGACGCATCCAGGATGAATGACTCTTAACTAATTGTGATTGCGCTGCGTCAACGAATTCTTTGAGACTGAATTCATTAGCAGTAATTAAGAGATCAAGGATTGCAGTAGCATCAGTTTTATCAAAAATAATGATACCACTATAAATATACCTATATAATTAATGAAAATTATATTCAATTATTGTAGATTTGTATCTAACGCTTTTAATTTATTGATTAAAAAAATATATATGTGTGCATACTTAATAATGATGTTGAAAACATCAACAGAAATATGTGGTTTACTGATTGTTTTAATATTTTTTTCATCGAAACTTATCTTGTTCAATTCATTACGAAAATAAGAACATCTAGAATTTAAAATAATTGAATGTGCCTTAAACATTTGATGGTTCGGCGTTTCACCGACTTCAATTAGTACATTATAATCCTCTCCAGTTTCAAGAAGACTTGTTAAATCGGTAGAAAGTTTTTTGAGGAAGTCAGCCATTTGTATGACGAAGTATGAAAGAAGAATGTGTAAAAAATATCGGAAAAAAAAAGATGACGTACGTACGTACGTGCGTTGCTTTGATCATTTACTATTTCGCATAAAATTTTCTATCTGCATATCGATACGTATAACAACACGTGCTATTTGATCAAAAGTTATCGTTATCTTTGTCGAAAGAAAGCACGATGAAGATCATAATGCATAAGAAAAAAATAGTTCGTATGTACGCACGTGTAACCTATTTATACGCTTTAAAGTGCTCTTTAGGAACTTAACACTTCCCTAATAAAAATCAGCACAGATAACTCTAAAAAGTATTATACACAGATAACTCTAAAAAGTATTATACAAAACTGACGCATTTTGCCTTGAAGACAAAATATACGGGACTAAGCAAATTATATTATATATCTAAGGTATTGAAAACGTTTTTACCAAACTGCCGCTTTACGACGTTAGATCTAAGTAAACTTTCATTACTAACTGATTAACTTGAATAAGTAAAGACTCTTTTTAATAGTAAAAGAACCGGTTTAAATATTTGAATTTGTAATATGTTTTGGGTTTAACACTGTAAATTAAGCTTCGGTTTATAGATTGTATAGTAAGCTTGGGTTTAAACGCAATAAATACTGCTTCGTCCATGTTTCTATTTATTTTCTAAATATATTTTATGAATTCTTCGTTTGCATTTATTGATTTGTATACTCTATATTTAAATTTCTTTTCGTTTCCTAGTAATAGCTTTAATAATGATACGTAATTCTTTTTGGCATTATGTAATTTTGTTGGTTAATTATCACGAGTAATCACGGATAGCAGATAGACGAGTTTCTTTCCGAGTTCATACGTACGTACGTACGTGCGTTGTATGGGGAGATGTAATTCATGCTCATGACCAAGGGTTGTGACTAGCGTTGCCAACTTAATTAGGCAAAAGATATTTTTTTATTTGAACGCACGATAACTGATAAAACATTACATTTACATGTTAAATATGAACTGTATATAATATCTATATTATTAAATATCGAACTACCACTTCAATACTGTAATTAGATACTTAATTATTAATATAATTATAAATCGCTTTTTTTGTTCGCTTGTAATTAATAGTCTTATCTGAAAGGAACTCTTGCAGGATGTTTTGAACAATAATGACAAGTTGCACTACGATCACTAATAACATTACTTGTTATATAATCATCCCAGACTTTTTCTTTGGACGGCACTTTTTCATTTCAGTGTTCTATTTTGTTTTTCTGAATATGTGTAAAGATGGTATAAATTTGTGTAAGTTGATTCATTGATCATATTAAAAGTTCGAAAAAGATTTCAATATGATAAAAATAATTTCTGTACTATTAATAGCTCTAATATGATATATCTATCAATTTTTGTAATTACAATACTAAACAAAAATATTTTTGTAAAGTAAATTATTTTAGCAAGTTGGCAACGCTAGTTGTGACGAAAGCGTGACCTAAGTTACCAGATCCGGGATCTTTTATGTGGGGTCTAAAGCCGTGTCCAATTTACATATTGATTTACATATTGCATTGGATAAATCGTTTTCTTGCTATTTTAATAAACCACTAACTCTAAATGCATCAAAGGGTCACCTCTAACCGGACAAGGTTTTGGCCATGCCTTTACAGTAATGCGCATTGATCGACATGTGAAGATAACATTTAACAAATGCTATTTCGGGTTTGGCTCGAGGCGATTTTCCCACAGAGAACGCCTCTAGGTACAACAGAAAAGCCCTAATATATAACAAACCATTCGCTTTCATGTGATTAGAAGGGATGAATGAATTTTAATGACTAACCTTTGGTTCTCTAGCCAAATCTTCATTACGTACATATAGTTAACTGTCACGCCGCATTCATCACTCGCTATAGTTACGTACGTACGTACGTACCTTGATTTTTTATTTAATCATATATTCAAATGGCCCCGTTAAGAGCAACCCTTCATTAATAAATAATTGAGCTATATAAATAATCATCTCGTTGTTATAAACACTCGCAGATATCAATATAATTGTCTAGTTCGAGTGGATTGATATTAATGGCATAAATTCTTTCTCGTTTAGGTCACGATCTCGCAAGAGAATCGTAAAAACATTTAATTTTGACATGCAACTGTAATTTTCCTGAATAAAAATTGTCGCAGCTGATGCTGAAAACGGCTGATGCTGAAATTCGGATCTATTTTGATATGAATTTTTCAAAAATTTTTCGGGTATTTTTTCCTCGATTTTTTTTTATAGTTAAGTTAGTGTTTAGGGTTAGAATTGATAATTAACAAGTATATGTGGATTTTAGCAGGGCTTAGATTTTTAAATCGAGACCCCAAATTTCAGCTTCAGCCGTTTTCAGCATCAGCTGCGACAAAAATTTTTAATATTTATTTTTATTTATAAATAATATTAAAATTTTAATAATATAAGCAAATATAGATAAATTTTCCTGTGTTCTAGTATTTTTGAGTTTTGATTTTTTTTAAAGTTTTAAATAATTTAAGTTATTTAATTAAAAATAAACTAATTATTTAGAAAAATTAAAACTTTGACCCAATCCAGTTTCTAAATAAGTTCTCTAAGCACTTCTATTTCATTTTTTGATTTCAAAATTTTGATATTCAAATAAAATTTGTAAACACCAACTTATTTCCATATTTTAATTTTGAAAACATATTTTGAAATTAATTTTTAAATAAGTTTTTTTGTCTTTATTAGAACAAGTTAAATTTGTTAAATAAACAAGAAAAATATATTTTGAATAAAAGAAGTTCAAAAAATATATCAAAAAATTTGTTTTCTAAGATAATTTTAAAATATAATTTTGAAATTAATAATAAAAAAAAATCTATTATTTTTTAAATTTTAGAAAAATAGAAATAAACTCAATCATATGCCTTTTAATTCTAATAATGAATTGGCTTTATATTTTGCGTAATAATGTCCCATTCTGGCTGATTTTATATAAAGATCTAAAGCTTTATCTTTATTTTTTTCAACGCCAATTTCATTTTCATAACAATAACCAAGATTAAATATTCCATCAGAATCTCCCATCTCAGATAATTGTTGATAATAAACAAATGCCTTATATTCGTCCTTTACGACTCCTATTCCACTTTTATAACAATTTGCGAGATTATATATTCCATCAAGATCACCCATTTCAGCTGATTTTTGATAATATATAAATGCCATTTTATCATCTTTTTCGACTCCAATGCCGTTTCGATAACAATATCCGACTTGAAACATTCCATTAGGATTTCCCATTTCTGCTGATTTTTGATAATATTTAAAGGCATTATCGTAATCTTTATGTTCTTGATAAAAGTAGCCAAGATTGTATATACCGTCAGAATCATTCATTTCGACTGAAGTTCTATAATTGTTTAAAGCTTGATTCTGATCTTTTTTTACTCCAATCCCATTTCGATAACAATATCCAACTTGAACCACTCCAGAAGAGTTTCCCATCTCGGCAGATTTTTGATAATTATCAAATGCCCTTTTTTCATCCTTTTCAACTCCGATTCCATTTTGGTAGCAGTAACCCACATTGTATGCACCATCAGAATTACCCATATTAGCTGATTTTTGATAGTATTCTAATGCCTTATTTTCATCTCTATCAACTCCAATTCCATTTTGGCAACAATATCCAACATTGAACATTCCGTTAGAATTACCCATTTCGGCTGATTTTTGATAATGAATAAATGCTTGATAATCATCTTTTCCAACTCCAATTCCATTACGATAACAGTAACCAATTTGGAATACTCCATTGACGTTGCCCATTTCAGCTGATTTTTGATAATGAAGGAACGCCTCATTTTTATTCTTTTCAATTCCAATTCCATTTTGGTAACAATAACCAAGATTAAATGTTCCATCAGAATCACCCATTTCAGAAGATTTTTGATAATAAACAAATGCTTTACGCTCGTCTTTTTCAACTCCGATTCC